ACTGCTACCGCTGCTGCTACCGCTACGGCTACGGCTACGGCTACGGCTACGGCTACGGCTACTGCTACTGGTACTGCGACTGCTACTGCTACTGCTACTGCTACTGCTACTGCTACAAGTACAACTACAACTACAACTACTACTACTGCTGCTACTACTACTACTACTACTACCACTACTCCTGCTGTTGCTACTACTACGACGACGACGACTACTACTCCGACTACCACTACGACTACGGACGACTACTGTTACTAATATTGAGAATATTCATGACAACGCAATTATAGTCGGGACATGAAATCAACACCAATAGTATGTTCATCCCCTCTGAGGCGTGAAAGGTCTGGAAGAGGACGTTTGGCACTTTAAGCAGCACCTGACGCAATTGGAGAGGCGGGGTTGGAATTGGTCCCTTTCATCGGTGATTTCCTGTAATGGAAGCATAGTTTTGGGAAGCCCTCACGTGAAAGGCATGAAGACACGTCTAGTTGTGGCTATATAGGTAATCTTTAGCGATTACCGATGTAATCGCCCACAGATGCCAGATCCCGTGTAGCAATCGGGCAACAAGCCTCGTGCTAGTGGCGACTGCGTGGAAACGACTGTGGCAACACTATGCAGCGCAGCAGATTGCGTAACGTGTGTTTCGACCAATATTCGATACAAGCATGTTTGAGCTTCATGCTTCCTCGGTTTTTAAGGCACTGCATAAGTAGCAGCCCAAAGCATGACTTGTTTGTGTGTACTTCGCATTTCAGTGCTACAGCGTAGCTGTTTGTACTTTCCCGGGCTTCGCAGGCTTATTCCGGGCAACCGAAACGACGACGAAATGGATGAGGCAGAGATTTCGGACTCAGGTTAACTCCTTTGTTTCTCACGGCTTCGATGTTCAACTTATGCATCTCAGGCGGATCCGCGAAAAGTTTTTGTGGTTCTTGTTCGTTGAAGCCAAGAGGTGCTTTTGTGGAGGTCTTTATTCCTGATCAGAGAACTCTCGCTACTTGACTTGCTGTCTGAAACTTTTTTTCATTCGAAGACCGAAGCATCGGGTCTGGCAGCCGCTTTCTTCCTCAAATTCGGGAGTGCTTGTTGCATTCACCGCGAAGGACCAGCTTAAGGACTTCAGGGCCAAGAGGTTTCGGGAAAACTTCGGGGTGTCCTACTTGGAGGTTCATGGGTAGTTGTAAGTGGGGTTTTGAGTAGGGTAACTGTACTTATAACCCATATTAGGGGAAATAACTCTACGTATAACTACCCATGAACCTCCAAGTAGTGGTCTTACCTATAGTCTCCATTGTAGTTCCTTTTTGGGGATACCTTATAAATTCCTTAATATATAATTGGTTAAACCAAAAAAAGGAACTACAATAGAGACTAGAGGTAGGGTTTCTTTTTTGGGCACAAGAACGCGCCTTTGGTGCTGCGAACGGGGCTTCGGTTCGGTCCAAGCCTTGGGAGTTCAGGGCTTGGGCCTGGATCTTCGGGTGGAAAGAGCCTCTTGAATCAAGAGTGAAACCTTAGGGTTTAGGGTTTAGGGTTTAGGGTTTAGGCCCTACAGAAAAGATGGAGACTTGAAGAAGGGCCCTGCCTAGAAGAGCTAGGGTCGTCATGGCCCTACGAACAGCTGCGCCTAAGCCTCCCAACGCGCCAGGATTGGGAATGGGATACCCGTGGCAGAGACATATAGCCACAAGTCAGACGGAGGCTCGAAGGGCGTGGACTCTGGTGAATACTCGTGAGCTCTTTAGGGTCGGAGGGTCCGAATGAAGGGTTGAGGGATGTAGGGTGGTTAAGGCGCGTGGGTTCTGCAGTAGACGTTGGGGTTAGGTGTAGGGGCTGAGGGATCACAGCATGTCATGGCTGCTGGGAAAAGTGCGACGGGTGCAGTAGAAAGCGTCTTCTTTCAACATCGATATCACTCCGCCTTCGCAAACGCCACCGAACGGCTCGCAGCATCTGAGCGATCCTAGATGGGTGCTCTTGAAGCAGTGCTTGCAGAACGGCTGGCTACCCGCGAGCCTGCAGCCTCAGATCCTGCAGCCAGCACTTTCAAGCCTGGGACGCAAACACGAACCCTAAGAGACCCCCACAACCTCACAGCAAGGCATCTAAACACCGTAAACTCCTAGACCCTCGACCGCCAAACCCTTAACCCTAGCCAAGCATGCGCTTCTCGCTGCTGCCTGCCCTCTTCACCGGCGCCGCGCTGGCTGCCGGGGATTCCGACGAGCCATCTGCGGAGCCCAGCACAGGCCTGCGCTTTCAGGCTTTTGCGGTCCAAGGCCTCAATCAAGAGGTTGACATTGGGGGCTCGAAGGTTGACGCTTTTAGTGGGCTTTAGCTCAGGGCCTCAGGGCTTCGTAGCTCTGCAACTCTTTCTGCTCAGGGCTTCCGGGGTGTAGGCCCCTAGGCTGGCACTTGCCGTGTTTGAAGGGTCGTGATGCGAAGCACGCTCCGCTCCATCTCTCTTTCTGTCTCTCTCTCTCTCTCGCACGCTCTCTCTCTCTCTCTCTCCCCCTTTTCCAGGCCTCGGCTCAGGCGTAGGCGCTGGGAAGAAGAGGCCGCCGCGGCCCTGGTATCAGGTTTATGCTGCTTGTCACTGTTTGGAGGAGGCATGGGAGGTGGCAAGCACGAAACCAGCGCAACAGCTCCCACTGTGCTGGAACCGAGAAAGGACACCTAGGACCTAGGTCGATTGGTCGATTGCCAGCTGTGTTTGTTGAGGTGTCAGCACATTGGGAATGATTTGCTTTTGAGTTTCCCTGCTGTTCTCTATTGTGTCTCTAGGCAATCTAGGCTTTGAGGTGTTGAAGCTTAATAGTGACAGAACAGTAAGCAGATAATTGTTTCACTGATGTGCAATACTTTCAGCCATGCAGTGTCGAACTCAGCCGACGCATGGTTTAGGTGCCGTGAGGTGTGATGCTTTCCACAGTGCTATGTCATTGGCTTGTGGTGTCTGATGCATGGGGTTACAGAACCTTCCTCTGATTTCGCAGCCAGATTGCAAGGAGAGCAACGTCAAGACAGTCATCTTCTACTCACTGAGTGCCGTTGTCGTTGTCGGCTACCTGGGCGACAAGTGCCACGGCCCAACTTGCTCGGCAGGCCATCTATGGCCCAATCCCAAGACTCAAGGAAGGCGTGCTGAGACCTAAAGACGTAGAAATTAGGACTGCCCCCTGAAACGCTCATACCCCAACCCTTGCCTGGACTCCCCAGCCTCGCACATGCCCAAGTTCTAGACTCGCAGCAGGCACGCTCTACCCTCTCGGAAACCCTGCCACAACTCCGACCCGAGCTATCGACGTCAACTGTAGGCCGGTCTGAGACAGGGAGACCGAAACCAAGAACAGGGGACCTCGCCCGGCTTTGTGGGCAGACTTTAAGGGCGAAGGAAGGGTCTCTCAAGAGAAGGGAGGCCTTTGGGGCCGGCGGGGCGTCGTCGCGTGGGATGCACTTGTTCTTGTCATGTAGAAGGTTTTGGGGCAATGGTTCGGGCGTTTACGACGGTCGTATGCACGAATTGGAAGAATACTTTGAAACCTAGGCACCCGAAACTCGCAAAATAGATCCCCAAACCGTAAAGCCATATACCACAACTCAGGTATTACGAGCACCTGCGGCGCCAGCGGAAGCGTTCCCGCGAGAAAGCGAGGCCGAGGCCAACCCAGGACGGGTTTCAAGTGAGGGCGAGTGAATCTGGGAGTTTCCAAAAATTTAGGGGTACCTTATTTTGGAGTCCTTATAATAAGGATCCTACTATTTAGGGTACTATATTAGGTTCCCCTATTCTCTGAAACCCCCATCTGGAAACTCCGGTGTTGCCACCGTTTTCAGTCATTGCTGTTGTGAGCTTGGGTTGCGTAGAGCCTTGCCTGTGTTCGGCGAGTGTGACAGTCGAAACCCTACCCTAGATAGACCCCTAGACCCTAAACCGTCAAAGGTTGCACAAGGCTGCACAGGCATTGCGGGACGTTGGAGGGTTTCGGGACTCCGGGGGCTTGAGTCCAGAGTTTGACGTTCATGAGATCGGGATGAGCGCCTGGCACTACGGGGCCGAACCTCGGTTTAGGGTTTAGGGTTTAGGGTTTAGGGTCCGTGAGAGCTGAACTTCTGTAGGCTCGGACATTTAGGCGATTGCACAAGTCCTGATGCAAAAAAGGGTTTAGGGTTCAGGTCCGTGGGGCTCCTTAGCATTGTTACAGACACTAAGTCTACTACAGTATACGCCCAAACCCGTCTATCTATTCGGGTACATTCAACATCATCGTTTCGAACTGAGGGTTCTTGAATTTAGACTCCCCACCTTAAGCCGTAAATCCTAGTTAAGCCTTTTGACTGTAAACCCACAACCGCAACTTCTAAACCTTGCATCCCAAGGCCAAGGCCCAAAACCCTTCTTAATGATTTGGAGGACCCTAAACCCTAAACCAGATGTTTACCAGTCGCAGCCGGGCTCTGGGACACGTTCCGGACCGGAATCCATGCCAAAGGGGCCGAAAAGTCTGGGTCACTTGCGTCCCCAAAGTTAGGTGATGTTGCATTTCGGTACACTCTCGCTGTGTTTTTTTTGCCGGTTTCCAGCCCACTCCCGTTCCAGGAGAGGTCACAGAATCAAGGCCAGCAAGAGGCACCGGGGGAACCAGCCTTTTGAGTTGATTAATTTAGGGGCCTCAACAATTACCTATACTATCTTGGGGGTTCCTTGTTATGACTATAGTATAAGGGACCCCCCCCAAAAAAAAAAAGTATTCTAAGTATGAAGGCCCCTAGATTAGAATGGGAGAGAGACCGAGAATCCCGTACCTCGCAGTGCTACCCCGTAGCTGTAGCCCCCAAGTATTAATGTAGGGGCCTAAAACCATCTTGGGGGTTCTTTGCCTTATTATGATTATGGTATAATGGCCCCCAAGCTACTTCTTTCTGCTGCTTCCACATGTGATGTAGTGGATGTAGATTTGTGTTTAGGTGCATGCTTCAGCGGCGCAACCCCATTCTACTTATTAAGGCCCCTATACTTGTATTAATTACGTAAAGCATGCCTTGAATCGGGAGGTCCTTGTGGAGGCCATTAAGACAGCCATCCGGCGACGCGGACCCGATGCCTGAGCCGCGGCTAGGTCGGCGGGGTGATACAGCTGATCTTGCGGAAGTCGGGCATAGCAGCATAGAAGCCGGCTGATGTAGGGGCCTTAAAAATTAGAATAGGGCTTTGGGGGTTCCTTATTATGATTATAGTATAAGAGACCCTCAAACCCTATTCTAATTATCCAGGCCCCTACATTATGCGAGCCTTAGCTCCCCGGACCTCTTGGTCTCGCGATCTTCGCCTCGCCTCGCCAAAAGGAAAACATGCGCCTGCTCCCTGCTCGAAAACCCGAATGCAAACTCCCCCCCCCCCCCCCCCCCCCCCCCCCCCCCC